AGTAAACAGCAGAAGGGTCGCTAAGTATCTAAAATATTCATGGCTGGGGCCCTCAGCCGCGAGAATTTTCGGCGTTTCGGTGTGATATCAATCATGGTTTTTCTATTCTGATTTTTCAAGACACCAACTGTGGATTCGAGGCACGGACCCCGTGTGTCAGCACCTCTGGTAAACAATGATTTGAACGTGGCTACTTGTTAAAAGTCAAAAGGAGAGTTTTTATGACAGAAAAGTAGGAAATATATATTTATAATCCGATAAGCAGGTTTGAGTTAAACTGTCTCTGATAACGCCAAAAATAAGTGTTAAATTCAAATGATGCATGTCATCAAATTTTAAATTCATGTAACATTGTTTTAATTTTTGAATGCAAAGTAGATTTTGTAGTTGAGCACAAAGCTATCTGCATCGAAACCCGGTTTCTAGCGTTGTAAGACTGGGGGGCGCAAACTAGATAAATGGCGCATTAGTTTAATGTTTTATTTTCTGATAATGGCAACCACTGCCATACTCAAATATGTTTGTTTGTTTGTTTTGAATTTCGCGCAAAGCTACACGAGGGCTATCTGCGCTAGTCGTCCCTAATTTAGCAGTGTAAGACTAGAATGACGGCAGCTAGTCATCACCACCCACCGCCAACTCTTGGGCTACTCTTTTACCAACGAATAGTGGGATTGACCGTCACATTATAACGTCCTCACGGCTGAAAGGGCGAGCATGTTTGGTGTGACGGGGATTCGAACCCGCGACCCTCAGATTGGGAGTCGAGCGCCCTAACCACCTGGCCATGCCGGGCTACTCAAATATGATATTTCAATCAAGTTAACTGCAAGTTAAATATTTCGAATTGGACAAAAATTCACGGATTTTTCAGTTTCATTTCGCTGTATATTATCAAATTCATTATATCAGTGAATTTACAAGTGTGTGTGATATTTTTCTAGCATTAATGCAATGATGATATTTAAAGCAAGGAAGGATAAAAAGGGATATCAGTTACCTTCCTCGTGCACATTAAATGCCCAACAGTATAATTAATTACGAGATTCGTGTTTCAGTTTATTTATTGATTTTTCATTACGTTACCACCATTTAATGAAGTATTACGTTACAAAAGCAGGAAAATGCTGTCTTCAGTACTTTTAATATTTGCATCAAACTACTGCTGTTTTAAAACTCTAATCATTCGAATAAACGTGTCTTGTACCTATGGTTGATTTGAGGTTTAGCAGATAGCTGTTTAATCAGGCTTGGGTATTAAAGTAGAGAAAAAAGATTTCACAAAGTTAAGCCTAAGGGACAGTCCAGTCTATGAACGATCAGACGTTTGTCAAAGAGGTTAGAAAAAAGACGACCTTTATATACCAGATAAATATAAAAGAGCATTTTATTTTAACCAATGTTGTATGTATTAACCCTGATGAAGCCGCAAAGGCGAAACGTTGGTTAAAATATAAAGTTATTTTTGTAGTAGAGAAAAAGATTTCACAAAGTTAAGCCTAAGGGACAGTCCAGTCTATAACGAACAGACGTTTGTCAAAGAGGTTAGAAAAAAGACGACCTTTATATACCAGATAAATATAAAAGAACATTTTATTTTAACCAATGTTGTATGTATTAACCCTGATGAAGCCGCAAAGGCGAAACGTTGGTTAAAATATAAAGTTTTTTTACAATTCTCTGGAGTATAAAGGTCGTCTTTTTTTTTTTCTAACCTTTTTGTCAAAATGTATAAATCCATCCAGTATGCACTACAAATTTTGAAAGACAACAAAAATTTGTGTTAAAGAAATACACGTTTTTACAGCATTGGTGCTATCCCAAATCAGCATTGTGTTTTTTGTACTATCTGCATAATTAAAGTAGAATTCAATGTCCATATGTAATTGCGTAATCTGGTTGTTGTACGATCTGACGAAGAGCACTAGCTGGAAACATCATCCTTCTTTAAATACTAATATAAAAACATGGCGATTTTTCAACCTTTCTTTAATTTCGATACTAGTCTTCGTTAACCCTCACTTTGCCAGCTATCTAAAGTGTTAAAACTAATATAAATAAAAGGGTATGCATATCTCTCTATTTTATACGTAAAACTTATTTATGACGTTCATATAATAATATATCTACCATTAGTTGAAAAACGGGTAACGAGACGGCGAAGTTAAGTTTAAATTAGTACAAAAGTACGATATTTGGAGTACCTTTTCAAATTACAAACCTTAAAATACTTTACACAAAACATTAATTTTAAAGACAATTACTTCGGTAAAATAAACAAACAAGCAAGGAAAGACGTTAAATTAATTTACTACCCTACCAAGGCTTATAAAGAACAGAATACCATTAACTAATGAGAACAAAAAATAAAACTTAGCTTTGATAATAACACAGTTCTGAAAATTTAAACTTCATAAAAGTTGTTTTGGTTTTAATAACGGATTTTTCATAATTAAGCTACGCATATATCGAAAATAATATTAATTAAATTTTTTATCATGTAAGGATTTTTTACAAATCGGGAAGAATTTTTTCTTTTTTTAGATCATATTATTATTTCCTTTACCACAATGAACATTTTTAATTATGTTTGTTAACAAAATTACAAACAAAGTGAAGAAAAGGGAAGAACATTGATGTCAAACAAATATGCATCCTCATTCATCCCGATTTGTGTGTGTGTGAAATCTACGTATTTTTGTCTCAATACTACGTCTTTCTTTTAGGTATTGCGTTATGACGTTTTGTGAAAAATCTGTACGTGATGGAGAAAAAACGGATATCATTTTCGGATTCAGCGATCAGGAATTATCGTAGAACATGTAAAAATATCAAGACAATAAAACCAGCACAGGCCTGTGTAATAGTTTGTTTGAAGTTAAAAACAAAGCTACACTATGGGCTATCTGTGCTCTGCTCACCACGGGTATCGAAACCCGGTTTCAAGCGTTGTAAGTCTGCAGACATACCGCTGTGCCACTGGGAGGGGCCTGTGTAATAGTTTGTTTGAAGTTAAGCACAAAGCTACACAATGGGCTATCTATGCTCTGCACTCCTCGGGTCTCGAAACCAGGTTTAAAGCGTTGTAAGTATGCAGTCATCCCGCTGTGCCACTGGGGGGCCTGTGTAATAGACGTTACCGGTATCACATCTTCGTGAATTTCCTTTCTTCTGTACCTCAAATGGAAAGGAACCTCTACGCCTAATCCACAGTGTGGAAGAATATAATTCCAAGTTTCTGATGATACATATATGATTCAGACAATTTTAATACAAAGAAATTTACAAAAAAAAACAACACGATGACAATTTTTTTATACTTCTTGCTATCATGATTTAAATACATCATTATATCAAAACTATCACACGAAGAAAATATTTCTACAATTGTATTACATATATGCATTGCTAACCTCTTATCATCTAACCCCAAGTGGTACAGCTGTATAGCTGCGGACTTACAACGCTAGAAACCGGGCTTTCGATGCACGTGATGTGTAGAGCACAGATAACTAATTGTATGGCGTACTTAACTTCAAACATATTTATCGTCTGCGCTGGCGAGCAATTTACATATTGTCACAATCTCAAAAAAATTCCAACAGGCGGCTCTAAACCGACAATTAGGGCTAAAGTTTCTATTTCTTTTATTTCTGTTTGGCTGTTCTTCAAAAACAAATATTAAAGTAAAATTTACTTCAAAAGAAAATTTAAAATCTCAACATTTCAGTTGTAATTTTATTTTTAAAGGAAATTTGTGGGAAAAATCACAATTAACTTTTCCACAATTTGATGTCGCACTTTCTTTACGAGTAATACACGATACGGGTGGTCTGGAAAGGATTGAACTATACAAACATCTACTGTACGTTTAGGGACAAATACATCTCTACTTAGGTTTATGAAGGTGTTGGTAAATACCCTGAAAGATAGTGTGTTTATACAAAGAATGTTGTGTACAAAAATACGTTTTGTAATACGTAGATATTTCTTACATATTTTTACATTTAATGACTTTAATACAAATAACTGGATTTTTCATTTCATAAAGTGTTACTTTCTGTGTATTCTACTCAAATATATTCAAATAATATGTATAAATACACTTCATACACGAAGCACGAGTTTTTCCGATAGTTACAATATTATTCAATATATCGCCGCAACAAACAACACCGGGCAACAGTTCTGTACCAAGTTAACGCTGTTTCATTCTATACCATTACAATATAATTTAATATAACAATTTTGTTTTACGTTTTAAGATTGCTATGAATATTTTGAGTGCAAGGCTACACAACTGATTATCTTTGTTCTGTGATGAATCAAACCCCAGGTTTTAGCGATGTAAGTCAGTAAATTATCGCTCACCAACCGGGAGACAATTACCAAGAAGAACAGGGCTATGCATAATGTAAACGTTCAATGATGCTTTGGAATTAACAATGATAAATAATTCACATTTAGATTATCCAAAAGTTATTTCAGTCGTGGTTAAGCACCCAGTCCACAATGGATTATCTGTACTCTTCTCACCACAGGTATCGAAACCCGAATTTTGCGCCATAAGCCTACAGATTTACATCTGAGCCACTGGGAAGCGATTATCCAAAAGCTCACTTTGTTGGTGATGAAAAAGTTTTGCTTTCTCCTTCATTTTTGCCAGACAAGGATATTCTAAATTTTTTCCATATTTTATCTCAACACCTGTGGTTCAGCATCATAGCTTTTGAATTCTTTTATTACACATATTGCATTTAATGTTTCATTTCAAAACAGTTTTCAGTTTTATATAAGTTTAATGAAAGTGCTAGAAATTTTATGAATGTGAAAAAAAAACCTATTCGTTGTCGTATATGATAAAAAAAATTATTTTGAAACAACTTGGAAAGAAATAATTTGTTTGAGTAGGATAAACGACATACTAACTCTTGCTTAAAATTTTAGTTAAATTTTTAAGGGTCTTCAGGTTAACAATTGTTAATTTATATATTTTTCAGAACCATGACTATACCAACATTGGTACTCTTCACCACTCTGTGGTTAGTATATTTCTCTCCATGCAATGGACTGCACTCTTCGTTGGATAAGCAACATTTGGAGACGTCTTCTACAGTGGCGCCATATTGGTACTCCATGATGAAAAAGCTACATTTTATAGGAAACAGCCCAGAGCTTCCGGAAGACCATATCAACGACGTTGACAAGCAGCTAGACGGCCAAGACTATCGTCCCCTGCTGACCGGATCCGGACGTTTGGTAAGTATGAAACGAAGCTCTGAACTGCAGAATAACCGAAATAGACAGCTTTTGAAATTGTTAAACCCAGATCCAATGAACTTGAGCAACGCAGCACGGTTCAATTCTTTCTTGGATGTTGACTATGATACCCGCCAAAGGCGAAAGTTCCCGGAAGTGGACTCTCGAGGCTTTGACGAAGATATATTCGATGAAGGTTTTGGCGAATGGTCACCTATGAAGAGATCAAGCAAAATAGTTGTATAAAATATATTTGAACTCTCTGGTACGTCTAATCCTAGCATATACATTCACGTAAATCTTTGCACCATAGATAACTTTGAACTTAACTTAAGATAAGGAAATACACACACATATAAATATATATATATATATATATTACTTGCCTTCCTTAATTAACACCGTACAAGTAACAACCGCATTAATTGAAATTATACTTAAGTTATAACAATGGCTTAAATGTAATTTGAACCGATGCGAAAAGAAAAAATAATAGCAGTATAAAGTAATACTGCTGATCTATGGGATCTGGTTCCCAATTAACAAACTACAATCCACGTAACATACTGCCCATTGTTAAAAACCTGTATAATTTAGTAAAATGTATAAATTAATAAATCAGTGGTGAAATAAAGAAGATAAAAGCAACTTGTCTGTAGCTTTCATAATTGTACAGTTTGTTTTGGATACTCGTGTAAAGCTACACAAAAACCCTCGACCCTAATACTGCTGATACTGTGAGATCTGGTTCCCAATTAACAAACTACAATCCACGTAACATACTGCCCATTGTTAAAAACCTGTATAATTTAATAAAATGTATAAATTAATAAATCAGTGGTGAAATAAAGAAGATAAAAGCAACTTGTCTGTAGCTTTCATAATTGTACAGTTTGTTTTGGATACTCGTGTAAAGCTACACAAAAACCCTCGACTCTTTTCTAAATTTAAACGGACAGAATAAAGAGAAGGCAGACAGTTAACAGCACCCACCACCAGGTCTTGGACTATTCTTGTTTCACAGAAGAATGGAATTTAATAGTCCGTTTCACAGTGTACCCACTGACCCAAGAAGCAGAGTACATTTTTTTTACGTTAACGGTGCGTGAATCATGACTTTGTGGATTTACAATCCGTGTCGTTAAGGGCTAGGCCATACGATAAGTGGGATTGATTTCTAAGTACAACAGAAAATAAATAAATAGATAAATTGTTTATGAAACATTTTGACAAAATCTAGAACTCTTACTAAATTCATATTTTCGAACTGAACACTGGAAAACTTCTCATTTTCAGAAACGTTATAAAATCAAAAGAAAAGCTAATATGTTGTTACGTATTACAGTTTCGAATGGCCTGAAACCGAGCTAAATGATAATTTAAATTTAGTAGCAAAATATATGCCGATATATCTCCAATTTATGATATTTGCCAACAAGATTAATATACACAGTTTTCTTTTTTAATACTAATATATTTTAATACACAAACAATAATACAATTTACAATAACAGTTATTACAAACAATGATTTATATACAAAAGTTTTATATATAAATTAAGTCATTTCGTAGTTTTCTTAACTCGCTACAGCTGCTGATCAAAAATACCATGGAGGTCACATTTTGTAACATTGACCAAAAGTTAGTAATAGTTTTTTAGGTCGTATACTTACCACCAGAAGGGCCATAACTGAAAACCACGCTAGTCTTCTTCAAGGAAACAAAATATCCCTTCAAGTCTATTTATACACAACAAAAGGCAAAATTTAAAACATATACATATGTAACATTTGGAATTAATAAATGAAGAGTGATAATTCATAATACTACCGTTCAGAATTTTTAAAGCCACGACGTATATACAGTTAAAGTAGCGTTCTCTGTCGTTTCTTGTGCGAGCTATAAAAAAACCGTGTCAAGAATTAGACTATATTAGCACTTACACTGCCGGGCATATAGGTCTTACAAGACGGAGAAGGTACGTAAAAATGACTAAAAGTGATAAAACTCATATAATTAAATAGTATGTATCTCTCTCTATTTTGTACGTAAAATTTATTGATGACATGCATATAATAATATATCTAGCATTTGTTGAAGAACACGTAACGAAGACGGCAAAGTTACATTTATGCGAATAGAAAGGTACGACTTTTAGCGTATTTTGTCAAATTACAAAACGTAAGATATTTTATATCAGAGCCGGCGCTAGATCATTTGCCGCCCCAACTTTTCAGAAATGTCTTACACTGCTAAATTAGGGACGGCTAGCGCAGGTAGCCCTCGTGTAGCTTTGCGCGAAGTTCCAAACAAACAAACAAAATATATAAAACCAAAACATTCCAGTTTGTTTGTTTGTTTGGAATTTCGCGCAGAGCTACACGAGGGCTATCTGCGCTAGCTGTCCATAAATTAGCAGTTAAAGACTAGAGGGAAGGCAGCTAGTCATCGCCACCTCTGGGGTTACTCTTGTACCAACGAATAGTGGGATTGGTCGTAACATTATAACGTCCCTACGGCTAAAAACCTGCGACCCAAAGATTGCTATTCCAGTGCCCTAACCACCTGGCCATGCCGGGGCCCGATATTAGGTTAGAAGAATATAAAATATTGCAATTCTTAATCTCAGATAAAAATATAGTCAATGTTTGTTGATGTGATAGGCTCCGGTGCACTGCACCGGCGGTTGTGTCCGCCACTGCAATTAACTTTGATGTTGCGCTTTCTTAACGGGTAATAAATACTGGTCTGGAAAAAGTTAAATTATACAAACATCGACGCGCCTCAGCTGTTCGTTTAGGGACAATTACGTCGAAATTTAGGTTTATGAAGGTGTTGGTAAAAGCTGGTAAATACCCTGAAAGATAGGGTGTTTATACAAAGAATGTTATATACAGGGATATATTTTTGAGTACGTAGAAATTTCATACATATATTTACATTTAATGACTTTAATGCACAGAACTGCATTTGTCATTTCTTACAGTATTACGTTTTGTGCATTCTACTCAAACATAATCAAATGATAAATATAAATATGCTTCGTACATGAAGCACGAGTTTATCCCTAGTGTTATGTTTTTATTGTAAACCTTTAATACACACGACTAAAGTCAAATTTGAATATCTTCGGCATTTTTGGTTTATCTTTCTGAACAAACTTTTAGATACTTAAAGTATACCTGATATAGATATAATTTCTAATTGCTCGTCTGAATCTTACAATTTAGAATAATAGATTAGAATTAATAGAAAATCAGAATGAGAGCTCCAATCACTTTCACAATAATGCTTCTGTCAAAATAATGAGGCTTATACTTCTTAATATTATATATAGTAGTAGTATTTAGTAATTCGGTTGAATAATATTGGTGTTGGACTAAGGATTCTTCTGCTGTAGGTGCCTGTGACTTGTTGGCGATAAATTCAATGATGAATGAACAGCACGCACTCCACTTGTTTTCAGAATTATACATATATCTTCGAAATAGTTAAACGTATTTACAGAAATTCCTTACACTATGGAGGTCATGGTTATGTCATAAGCTATATATAGTTCTCTATTTCTTGTCAAAAGTCCACTTAAGCCTGTTCAATTGCTTTAGAATTTCAGTTGACAAGCCTAACTACTTTTCTCTATTTATATCGCATTAGTATTCTGTGTATAATTCACTTGCAATTATAGCTTGATTACCACAGTCGTATACTGCTCTTCAAGTAATCGTCTGGTACTCATACTTCAAATATCGTCTCTTCCTTTTGTCAAAGTGCACTCAGGCTGGTTCAATTACTTTAGAACTCGCTTTGACGGAATAAACTATACTTCTTATCTTTTTAAACCGTTAGTTTTCCCATAACATATTAATCGTTAGGCCTTTGACTCCTACAGCAGTTAACTTTACGTTTACCTACCTTGACCGAACTTCTATTTCTCGTGACTTTACTTTCTCGTCTTCTCTGTCTGTCTGCTATTCCCGCTCGTCTCACACTATTTATATATTTATCAATTAATCGTCTATTCGCCTTCTAGAAATCTTTACATCCTCGACATCAATATATTTCATGCTACACTCTATAGCCTCAACATCAATAAATTATAAACATAACTTCCAATAATCGTCTGCTTTTAACTCTATTGTCATAAAAACAACTAAACAATCATGAAATATTAACTCGAAAAATAATTAATTGATACTACCTACACTAAACAGTCGTTTATATCTGACAGCTTCCTACCTAATGAATTATGGGTAACACCTCTTCAACAACGACATATAACAAACAAGGCGTAATTAAAGTGTTTTTGATACGTTATATTTGTGAAAAAGTTATGATGAATCAGCAAAGAGTGAGATGTTAAATGTCATTAAAAGTCTGATTGTGAAATCTCATCAGGGTTTCTATCCTAAGAAAGTTTCGTTTCATTTCACCCATTGTATTGGTTACCTTCAGAAAAACAATGAGTAACTCAAAATTATGAAGTTTCTTTGTTTGATCAATTTCTCGCAAACTTACTCTATTTACTATCTGCGCTAACTGTCCATAATTTAGAAGTGATACAATAGAGGGAAGTCAGTTAGTCAACCCAACTTACCGCCAACTCTTAGGCTGTAATTTGCCAACAAAAAGGTGGGATTGTCCGTCACATTATAACGCTCTGACGGCTGAAAGGGGGAGCATGATGGTGAATGGATTCGAACCCGTGATACGCATACCAGGCCAAATTATTACACAGTTTTTCATTTTTGCATATACTTTAGATAAGCATACAGACCAACGAAACAAAAATTACCTTTATTTTAAACAGAACTAAACTAAAAAACCTGGTCTCTAGCGTTGTATGTCTGCAGACATACCGCAGTGTCACTGGGGGGGGGGGGCAAAGATTTTTCAATATTCTGGTTGTTATTATAGAAAGATGTGCTCATGTAAGCCTAAGGAACCCGACCAAATGTTATTAAATAATGTAATTACAATAAATGGTTATATATGTTTATTTCTCTGTTAATAATAATTGTATAGTTATTTTATAACGAGGATTATCAACTATGTTACTAAGTGTGACATACATGTGTGACATTCCTTATAAATAAAAAAAGGCCTAATTAGTAAATAAACGATAAATTTCATGAAAGTATATCATAATGAATCATACATTGATCTCCTGATTCAAAGACTTGTTTACGAATGCCATCACTGAAGAATAAGAAAACGTGGTTAATTCATGTCATGACAAAACGAAAACAATTTAGAAAAACACACGTGCTATCAGTGTACGTGAAAAGTTATTCGCCATCCTTTTTTTTTTATTTACTATTTAATTTTTTTCTCGCTAATGGCCTCTTCTCTATCATTTCGTGCGCCCTAATTGTGTAGAACCACTTCACAACAGTAATTCGATCAGAATCATTTCCACACACGTTCCTAAAATGTGCGTTGGTGATGCCGTGCCTTGGAAAGCGCGTTTGTAAAAAAATCCGCTTAGGCTCTAATCTGGTTTCTCATTCGGAAACTCAGACACAGGGTTATATTTGTAGAACTTGCTTCCGAAACGTCATTGCTTTTTAAAACATTCTCCTTTCAGTTCTAAAATTTGGAAGAACAGCTTCTAGAATTTCTTTTCAGTGTCGATAAATTCTTACTTAAATCCAATAAATTCATTTATATAACTCCAGAGTTCATTCAAAATGGCGACGAATACGTTGCTTATCAAAATTGAATTATTTT